ATACGACTAGATCGAATGAGTTTTAAAATTTTTATTTTAATCATTTAAAAATACAGAAAATCAATCAAACAATTCTTTACTACTACTTTCACAGTACAACATATCATTGAAGAATTTATGCTTTTCATCGTTCCATGAGATAATTACTAAATATTTTACTGCTTTACAAAGTTTGCTGAACAAATTAATCTGTTGGAAGCTCAGGTTGAGCTTTAGGATGTCATAATTATTAAAAAAAAGAGAATCTAATCACTGGATTACTTTGTCAGTTGAGGGTTTAGTCTCTAACATGCAGGAACACTGGAAAGTACCTCACAGTTTCCCTGTGTCCAAAACATTGTTTTCCAATCACTTCTATAATCCAAATCCCAAAAATATTCATCATAAAGTGATATATAGAACTAGAGAAAGCTGGTTGTATTTCCTTGATTAATGACTGCAATTACTGATCAGTTATTAAATGTTTGATATCGATTAATATGGTGTTGATCATTTTCTACTGTTTAACTAATTGATCAAGCACCGATTTAAAGCCTAAAGCTGTACATACTTCTAAAATATGTACCGATTACTGCAGTCTGAATATCATATTAGTCCACAATAGATGAAGCCAGTGTATATTTTTTTAGGAATTTTACAACAAACATGCAACACTACCAATTAATTCTCATCAACTTATCAGGCTACTTTCTTTAAAGATCATTTTATTGTTGAAAAAATAAAGAAAAATGCATGTTGCTGTTGTCTGCAGCTCTAAATGATGTCTTCAGATTGTTACTTTTTGTCCAACAAACAATTTAAAACCTCTAAAATATTGTATTTGCTGCCTTGTGCAACCAGGATCTCAAGTTTAAGAACCTGGAACCATCAAATGTTTGGCAGTTGAGATTGAAAAACTTTTTTTTTTCCTGAACAGCTACTTAATTTTCCTTAATTGGGCAATAAATACATCATAATATTTCGCCTGTCGTGTCTTAAAGTCTCATCATCAGTATGACCTCCACTCTACAAAGATCATCAGATTTTCTTTTAATTTAACCGAAGTGCGTGATAGAAGACATCAGGTTTGGGTGAAAGCCTCAGATTCATGCTACTCGTCTACATTTTCACTTCACCGTGCACCCAGCTGCCATTCCTGCTCTTTCTCAGAGCTGTGAACCTTTCAGTGGACACATTATAATGCTAGAAGCTCCCAGACCTGCACTATGTGTGTCTGTAATGCTTGCAAATGTTGTATTGGCACCTTGTCTTTCCCTTGAGCAGTGTGTGTGTTATCCATATAAGGGTGCATGTGCCTTCAAAGCCTCCCTGGATTCTGCACCGTGTGTGTGTGTGTGTGTGTGGTTTTTAATAGATGCTAGGAGAGCTGCACTATGCCCATGTAAGCACAGAGTACACTGGGGAATTAAAGTCGGTCTAAAGAGTCTGACATACTGTGCACAAACAGACACGAGACACAAGACAAACAGATTTTGTTTCTTGTGTTTTAAACATCTGGTATCAGTGGTTTAAAAAAGGAAAAAAAAAAGAGGATGCAGCTGCCACCTTGCAGTGACAACAATGTTAGTCAAATGGAGAGCTGTCTAGTAAACTAATAAAATAACTGTAGGCGCCGATTATTTACTTCTTAATTGCTTATTTACTTTTTGAAATTAAATACAGCGAAATTATAGAGGCTATATTTTATCACATGTGTATTTACTTTATAGTGAGAATAAAAAAGCTTCAAATCCTCACATTGAAGCTAAAAATTAACAGTATTTTGTCCTTTTTTTACCAAAAAAAATGCCACACAGTTAATAAAATTGTTACAGCTAATCATCTGAGCACTAATGTTCTCATCTATGTTGATTTTGAGGCAAAATTTGCTGCATAAAAGCTTAATTGTACCTCTACACTATCGTAATGTGTGTCTGCAAATACCAGTTATTTCCATTACTGATTATTTAGTATGACTATTTTCATAATGATAAAATAATAGTTCTGTCTGTAACCAGTCAGGAAATTGTAAAATTGGCTTGTACTTGTTATATCCAAATATCCTAATATGTTCAATCTACAATATTTACATTCTTTAGTATCTGACTGCAAATTATTAAGGCCAGCCCAATCCCCACATTGCTGGAGAATAGTCTGACTATACCCATTATCATTCTGCTATCAGGGAAACAGAACTCTTGAATTGTTTGTATTTCTTTAAACCAGTCACAGTTGTCTTGAGCGGCACTAGGCCCAGCAGTGCTGTGCTGGGAAAGTAGTGTTACAGGAAATTTAAAAACACATGCTTAGAAAGTGAAACTTTTTACATAACTGGTGGACTAATGTCCCTGTTAGACAGTAGGTGTTGTGCACATGTTCTTTGTAGATCTTTACAACCATTCATGGAAAGTACCAAGCAGGCCTGCTTCACTGCTCGATCCAAGTAATAGTCAAACCTGCTATTTTTAGTGTGTTTGTTGCTGCTTATAAATAGTTTAGTTATTTCAACTGGTTGCAAGTGTGTTTTCTTTTGCTTTTACTTTTTTGTCTTTTGGAACAGGTCAGTTTTTTGTGCAACACCTTTGTTAATCTAAGATAACTTTTCCTTATGGGGCACAGTTTAATCTACCTTGAATCTTGAATTCACCTCCGATGGTCATGTGTCACTCCAGAATCTAACAATATGCAGATTTTAAGTTGCTCACAGTCATTATTTTTTAGTGAAAATGTTTGTTGTAGCAAAGCTGTCATATGTGAATACAAGACATGTTCTTTTTGAGAACAAGGCGTCGGCATGCAGTGTGCCTGAAAACATTTTATTTGGCTCTGAGGTCAGTGGACCGGACTTTTACAGCTGATTATGTAACATATTTGGCTTTTTTATGCGAGCTAAATCATAGTTTGTGCCCAATATGCATGAGTTACAGCAGTCGCACATGTGTGCTCTTGTACAACAATAATTCATTTATCAGAAGAGTCCAACTCACACGTCGTGTGTGTGTGTGTGTGTGTGTCTTCTGTCAGTGTGCTTTTAAGTGTTCATCCTTGATGTGAAAGCACACGTGCAGATGTTTGGCTCTGTGCTGTTCACATGTGTGTGTCTGAACTTTTTCTGTCAGCTGACCTCAGTTTTGACCTTCCCCACCTTCTTTGGTTATTTATACACTACCACAGTGTGGACTGCTGATGTGGCTCTCTGCAATCCTCACATACATTAAAGCCTCTTGTGTGGCTGACTTGACAAGCGCTCACACGCCACACACATCACAAGCTGTTTGAATCACGTATGAAGCCCCGTCAACACCACGTGACCTCCAGTCAGTCAGACTACAGACTTCACTCTGATTGGAAACGTTTTACTTTTCGTACTGCTGTGTTGTTTTAAATGTAATTCTCTTGGTGTTATAGCTCCTTTCTGCAGGACGATTTTGTCTAAAATTAGAAGTCAGTCTGTTAGCATGCGACTCAGGCTGATTAAAGGCTGTTTTTGTCAAGTCCTGAGCCTGCAGCAGTGAGGGCCTTTTCATACTTTTTATCAGAGCCTGATATAATCTCAGGGTTATTTCAAGCCGGTTGGCATTGACACTTTTTGTCGTACTTGTTGATACAAGAGAAAGCAGACATTTCACTGGGTGCACCAACAATCTTTTATACATGCTGTATACATTACAATGAGAGTATTTATAAGCCCATTTAAGTTAGAATTATATGTTGTGTGTTACTCACACCAACAAATGTGAACTCAATCAGTAATCTTCTCCCTCCTTGTTATCATGTGAGGGGGCTGGGCCACATGGAAAACACCATAATACTCTATTTTATTAAAAGGCTCTGTGCAATGGCTTATAGTGCATGTATGCAACAGGCAAAAAGCTGTTATCCTGCCTCCAGACTGCCCGCCTTCGTCTTGTTATGATTTTTATCCGAAAGGTAAAGAAGGTAAATCAGCAACTTTCTACCTTTTAATTTGATCTTTTTTTGGTTCAACTGATGTCTGTTTTCTGTTTCTCGTGTATTTTTCAGTTTGGATTGCGCGTGCTGCTCCTTATGATATTAAACTTTATAAAACATTTGGCAACACAACTACACCTGGTCTGTACCCAGTGTTATCTATATCAGGTGGAACATTATTCGTGTTTTAAAAAACCTTCTAAGGCTGATTTCAAGTATTTATTTATTTTGTTTACACATAGCTTATTTGACGCCATGTACGGTAAAAGGATGAACCAAAAAATACCAAAAAATACTATTACAGTATGAAGAAGACGTGGAAATATTAGTTGTGGATTTGGATAAAGACCTGTAAGGAGAAAATGCTGCAGTGCATGACATAAAGAAGAACACACGATGGGTCATTGTACATGTCTGTTGCTAGCCGTGTTTCCATTATACATTTATATGTGCATTTTGAAGTAACGCATTAGACAAAGTAAATGGAAATGGAAAAAGCTTCCCTAAAACTTTATTGCAAATAGTTCTTACCCTGGAGGTGACTTTTTACAAACAGAGTAAGATGCTTCATTGGAGATAAAACACCTTTTCTGAACAAGTTTTGACATAGTGAACATTTAACTCACACTCCTGCTTCTTTTGTTATCCAAACGTCATGAAATGTCAAATACCAGCTGACATGAAACAATAAGTACAACCTTCCTGACTTCTCTCTATTTGTCTCTTGTACATTGCCAAAGTTTGATTTGTTTCTTCTTCGAGGTTTTCTAGCAGTTGCCCAACAGCTGGTTTTGTTTCTGGCTTCTTCATTACAGCCATGCATAACTGTAACTGCACTACACCATATTATATGATCGCTGCTACTGACTAGAAAGTCAGAAAGTTCAAACTACTCTAAAATAAAACACAACGCCCTCTATTTTTAGACTCTTGTTTTAGATTCTTCTTGTGCACTCGTCCACGTGTCCTGCTGCCATTGTCTAAACAGAAACTGTATTGTTTTAATGATCCTGGTTAACTTGTGACTTATCATGTCATGTTTTCTTCTGTTCTCTGTCTGTTTTTCTAAGGATGTGGAGAAGGAGAGGGAGTTGCGGACAGAGTTCAGCAGGGAGGAAATCAGGCAGAAGATCGAGCAGTACAACTCGCTGACCAAAGACCACCTTAAAATGACAATGGTGAGTAGATCACACACACAAGACGGCCTGGTGCTTGTTTCCCCTTTAAAAATTTTTTAAAAAAGTATCTTCACCTGCTCAGTGCCCGTACTAGTCACAAACACGTACAACAAGTAGAGCCTGGATGCTGTCATTGCAACAGATATCGCATCACAGCTCATGCAGAGTCATGAAGGCGTTCAGTCTTCATATTCGAGGTGTGCTAGTGTTTCAACATTAACACTGCCTCCCTCCTGTTCCCAGCATTCCTCAGCAGTCACATCAGAGTGATGTGATGTTATTCCTGCAATTGTTCTCCCCCACAGTGTTTTTCTTGGCAGCGCGAAAGGTGTTTGAAGTTGTGTTCACTACAAGTCAGAGTCACATCCAGTAGAAATTAGGTGTATCAGGTGAAGCTGAGGTTTAAAAATGTTGGTATCTAGTGATGGGTGCTGCGGTATTTTATTTTTAAAAACAGCATTTTTTTTTTTTACAAGGTTTTAATAGGAGTTGAAGGATCAGTGTGTACCAAGGTCATAAGTAAATAGATAAACTTGTTCCTCACTTAAATCAGTCCAGGTGAAAATTGTTATTTGTTTAAATAATTTTTTCCCCCTAAGACACACCTATTGTGCAGAACTTTAGTCTTCCATTTGTGCCAGTGAGAGTAATGACATCAGGTCTGTGCAGTTCATATACCACAGCTTCATGTGGCAAAGCATGGCAGATCGTCTAAAAACAGCAGATTCATGAGTCATAAACACATAAGCAGCTGCACTGCTTTGAATCTGCTGTCATTTCAGGATGAAAATAATCAGGTTAGAAAGATTTGATATGCTGCAAATACCAGCGTTTCTTGTTTATTCATAATTAATTTAAATAATAAGGCTAGCTCATAAGGTGATTGGGTGAAGTGGCTGATTTAATTGAATTTTTTTCCCTTCAGCTGCCTGATGTTAAAGAGTTTCAATCGACTTTTGATTTTCTTTTGAATCAATTTTCTTTGGTTGCAAACATTGCTGACACAGTAGACACATGCTTCTCAGTCAGTTACTATCGTACTGCTTATCTGGAGCATCAGAAACCTTTCTTGGACACTTTCTATGTCTGTCCTTCATGCTCTGAGTTGCTGTTGCTGCTCTCACTGCAGGTCTTCTGCTCTGGCCAACCAGTCATTGTCAGTGGACATAAAACACATTGCTACCAGTGCGACAGTGTTAAAATGTGGCCAAAGAAACCAAAGTTAAAACTCTGGTACACTGCGGCATGCAGAGCTTTACTGCAGAGCTTTTTTGTGGAGGTGATGAGAGGCTCAATCAGCTCTGTGTGAACTCATCTGGCAGTGTTAGTTTATATGTAAAAGTCCTGTCCTCTGGCCTTAATTATTTTGTTTGTAAAAACTTTTTATCGTCAGTGTTGGTATTTGATCTGTTGTTTTTGTTTCTAAAACATCCTGAGCCTTGTGATTTCTGATTTCCTCTCACATACGACAAAAACAAATAGAATGTTTGAGAAGCTCATAGTAGAGAACATTTGGCATTTTTGCTGGAAAATGACTGAATCAGTGATCAGATTATCAGCGTACTTGCAGATTAGATCACAGGCTGTAACTGACTAAGAGACAAATCATTGCCTTGTCTTGTTCTTGTTCCTGTTTTTATTGCGTTTTCCTTCTTTGTGACTTTATCACTCCATCTCGGTGGTGCAAATTTCTTGTCGTCACTCTGTCTGTGTTTCAGCTCGTGTCGTTTCACTGCTGATCTTGTTTGCCTACTTGTGACCTTCACACACATGAACTCACGCACACACACACACACACACACACACACACTCCTCCAGGCCCCATATGGAGTAATGAGATTAAGATGCTCTTCCTCCGTCTGGGGCCATCTGTCCTGCAGGACTCACTGGGCTTATTGGGTGAACTGGTCCCACATGGAGAGATCATGTAGCACCTACTGTAGTCTAGTGTAAACCCAGGAAACTTTGAGTCCAACTAACTTAAATAAAATCTTTGTGTTCCACCGATACATATAGTTTACCTCATTTTACATGATTTGATTGGGTGTGGTTGTTTTTCTGTACCTCTGAATTTTATGCATTTTACAAAACAAGACTTGGTATTATTCACTGATTCTGCTGCTACATGCAGGCCAACCTGCTGTTAACTTTTATTAATTGGCAATAATAAGATTTATTTAGTTGTTGTCATTGAAAAAAGGCAGCTACTTTTTTTCCCAGTTGGCACCCCCAACATTTTATTTCACTTTTCGGTGAAGATTCTGCAGATTCACCTAATTTCCTCTTGTATTAAATTCTGGTGATGTTATCTGTTGTGTCCACTGAACAACACTGGTCTTTATCACCTGCATCCATCCCAACAGGTATGAAAAAGAGAATAATCTGAATCATCAGGTCTGGAGCTCTGTACATGTACTGCATGTACAACCTTCACAGATTGTACAAAAAATAAAGGAATGTTTCATAACACTGTTGACCTTTTGCAATTTTTTTTGTAGTTCACAAACTGTTTTAGTATACTAGTAGACTACATCAGGTTTTTGTTGTGAATATAATCATTTTTAAAGCAAGTGCAGCTAACGTCGATCAAATGATTGTGCAGCTTTAATAACTGAATAAAGCTGGAAAAACAAACTTTACTACAATGTTAACGAAAGCTTGGCAGTCACTAAACACTGTGTAAATCAGTGAGATGATTTTTATAAATAAAATAAAAAAATATATAAATGATTACAAATAGCATACAAGCAATTTCAATACATTTTTTAAACAATCAAGAATGAACAGATGAACTGATTATTACAGCAGCTCTTGAGTGCAGGCCTAGTGTAAACCCTCTTTTAGCATTTATACGATTATTTCAAATTCAAGCTACGTTTTAAGAATATAAAATTAAAAAATTAAGGGGAATAGTAATTGTTACAATAATATGTAATACAACTTTATTATAAATGGCAATAAGAAATGAGAATAAACTTACAAGAATAAATTAATGACAGAAAGAAGTCCATGAAAAATGTATTCAAGTGTAATTAATAATTATTAGTAAATTCATGTTAAATGAATGACTTCAGCTTTGCCAAAGTAATACTGTGAAAGGTGCAATGTAGTAGAAATCCGAGCATGTACAACCTGTGACAGATACTGTAACTGTGTGTCCCTCAGGGCCCCACCGGTGCGTACACCGGGTTCATCAAGGTCCAGATGGATCTGAGGAGGCCGGTGACGGTGAGAGGAGGTCAAAGAGGGGCAGGGGGAGCCGTGGTGGGGGAGGCCTTCTATCTGCCCCGAGGAGTCACCAACACCCTCCACATCAGCTCCTGTAACACAGTCAGACAGGTGGCGATCACACACACACACACACACACACACACACACTCCACAGCCTGCCCAATAAGTTAATTAGGATCTGATGACATACTGGTTCAAGTCTGGGCGACACAGGAGAGGGCTGATGTTGAAGTTGTATTAGCGGTAGATTGACTTTCACTTTGTTCTTCACCTGATTCAGTGCATCAGTGTAACACAACCACAGCAGTGTCTGTGGCTGGATGAGGAAATCACACACATCCACAGTGAAAGGGCAAATACACTCGTACAGTACAAACACTGAGAGACTTATGTTAAGCAAAGAAATGCAATTAAAGAGTATTTAAAAACACAGTTAATTTAAATAACATATATATATAGAAACAACAACAGCTCTAGATTGTTTTTGGGTTTGACACTTTTGAATGAAGACAGTATGATTATTATAAATTGAAACTGATCAGCATTTGTTTAATGTGTTGGTGTTGGAATGCATCCCAGCATGCACTGGGGCACTGAGCCTCGTTTACTGCTGTTACCTTGTTCTGCTTTGTGCAATACAACATTTCCACAGTTTCCATCTTGTTAGAAAAAATCAACTCGATGTTAATATGCAGGAGATTTTAAGTGACGATCAACATTTCTAAAATTACTTTAAAAATGTGCTTTACATGCAACAACCATTTTCAGCAAAGTACATTTAAATAAATGTTCAAATGCTACATTCACATTGTAATATTGGTAATATTTTGGCTCCCTTTAAAGATACAATGTCAGACTCTTTTGCTCATAGTGTTCAGTTTTATATTTGCTCATGTGTTGGTTAAAAAGATCATAATGACTTTTCAACAACTTTTCTCATCTAAATCATAACTCGATCAACATTTTTTTTTATTTGATCTGACAGAAAGTGAGCCATTTATACCTGAGGAATAAATTCACAAAAAGGAATCACCCTAAAATGTCTTGACTTCTGACTTAAAACCTATTGGAAGAGCACAAACAAAAACAACTGCAGCCGTCAGTTATCAACAGAAAGAAACAGATACTGAAAAAACCCAACTTGTTTTCATGTGCTTAGAATAAGTAGTTATTGACGCTAACGGTAAACTTCAGCCTGCGTCAGAAAGAATTATACAGTAATAATCCCTGAGTTTGACGAGTTCTGAGTGTTTTGCTCTCCTGTGTTTGACTTCAGGTGATCGTCGCCCTGCTGAACAAGTTCACGGTCGCAGACAACCCGGCTAAATACGCCCTGTACAAGCGCTACCGCACAGAGGAGCAGGGTAAGACTGCGAATGCGTGTGAGACGGTGAACGCTACAAGGCTGGAGACAGGGACTCATGCCGCTCATGCCAAGCTCAGTATCAGATGCTTTTACACTGACATACAGCAGCGTTGATGGTCTCCATGTGTGTGTGTGTGTTTGTGGAGGCCTCGCCCTCATGGATGCCACAAGGCTCTCCCCACTGTAACGGCTCATCAGGGATACCCAGGAATACACACACACACACACACACACACACACACACACACACACACACACATCCAGGGTATAAATACACACTCTGTGACTCAACAGCTGTTGCAGGTTGCTGGGTATCACATATTATCTTTCAGTGTGTTTAGCACCTCCAAGTACAGAGGAGACACTTTATTAGCCTCATACATGAATTTAAAGTATAAAACAAGACCAAAGCCACTTGTTTGAAGTGTGTGAGTCATTTCACCCCAAACTTTTATAGAGTTTTAGGGTGTTTGTTCCCCGTGGAAGGCGCTCATTACTGGAGACGTTCAGTGAAAGGCAGCCTGCTAATAAAAGACAGCGTCTAGACAGAAGTCTGATGACAGACATACAGTATGTGGACTTAATAAACTCATTTCACGACAAAGATAAAGGGTTCGTTATTGAACCCTCGTCTGGAAATGTAGAACTGTCTCCAACCTTCAGCTTCAGGAGACTAGAAGACTCCAGCTGAGGTCTAGGAGGACGACAGGGTGACTCTGCCTGAAAGAAAATAAAATAAATAGTCTATCTTCTGAACCCTAAGCAGTGTTTGAGCACGTCATGGTTTTACTTATGGTTACTCTGCAGTGTGAAAAGCTGCTCCTCTATGGAAACAGCACAACCTTGGATAGAAGGAGAGAGAACTCAGAATGTGTTCAGGTGTAATGCCAGAAATGATAAAAAACTAAACAAAAATTGATTTAGAACTTCTCTGATTATTTATTTTACACTTTTTCCAAGTGACTCCAGATGGTACCGATTGGAAAAACAGTGACTTTTCATACTACAGATATTTTACTCCTGACTTTTAAATGTCTTACTTGTGTAAACACATCCTGCAGTTCAGCTGAAAAAGTTCAGAACTTTAGTCATGTGACTGTTGGTCTCCGCTTAGTCCCTAAGGGCTTTTTGTTTATTGTTTAATCTAATCAGAGCTAATGACTTCATTTTGGTGAATTTTTAAATGAGACATGGATGATGAAGTGATTTTCATTAAATATCACGTGTTTAAGCTTAGATCTGGTGAGGTGATGTGGCACAGTGGCACGTCATAGATGAGTAGTGCTATCAGAAAGTTGTAACTCCAACTATTCTTTCTGTTTTTACCGTTTCTAGCTTTGATAAATTGTGTAACTTTGGCGATTTTTTAATTTTTTGCTAACAGTAACATGCCTTTCAATCCTGCTTCACCTTTATGTGTCTTCATTTAAGTTATTATTTTTGTCTACTTTTAGGGTAAATATGGTTGCAGTCTTTATCTAAATCACTCTCATTTTTACAAAAATAAAAGTTTCCAGTGTTATTATAATCTTTAGTTAAATATCTTGCTGTAAACACAAAACTCAGGTGGTAGCAGAGCTGTGAATGTAAAAGACACTGTCAGATGATGTAACTGGTTAACTTGTACAGCGTCTCCAGCCTGAGCTCAGATGTAAATACTTCACCGAGTCTAACAGCATCTCTCATTCCGCGTCTGTTTCTGTAAATTACTGGTGGTTAATGTGCCGCGCCCGGTCCTTTCATCCTGTTTCTATGCACACACAGTGCAGAAGTAGCTGCCTGCATGTATGTGGTTTGATGGAACGCTCACGCTGAAGGACTCTGTGTGTGTCTGTGTGTGTGTTGCAGTGTATGTGTGCAAGCTGGCGGATGGCGAGCAGCCGTTGTTTCTTCGTCTGGTGGCGGGACCCGACGCCGACACGCTCAGCTTCGTGCTGAGAGAGCAGCAGACTGGAGAAGTCATGGTAACACAGACACACTTTATATATTCATCATTCCCCTCCTTCTGTTCTTTCATGCTGTTCTTCCTCTATCATGTATTTTCTCCCTTCAGTGATGCCGTACTTCTTTATCCTCCTTCTCGTTGCTTCTTCTTTACCTCCCATTTCAACCCTCCCTTTCCATTTTCCTTTCTTTACATTCTTTCATTTCTTTCCTCTGCTCTTCCTCCTCATCTCCAATAATCCGTTCTTCCTTTTGTCCGTCTTCATCCTCCTCTGCTCATCGTTCTCCTTTTCCACCCTATATATTTAGCCTGTTTTCCTCCTCCTTCCCCTTCTCTCCTCTCTTCTCTCCATCTTCCTCTTCTACACTCCTCCCTCTCTTCATCTTTCTCAATCTTCCTCCTACTTTTTTACCTCCAGCTCGCTTCCTAAACTGTATTTAAACGTCTGCATTGATTCTGCACAGTACAAATGTCCTACCCCTTCGTGAACATTGTTTTTTAACTTTACTCTGCAGTTACACCTCCAGAACACTAGCAGGCAGTGGTGTGACTGTGCAACTGTGTTGAGTTTCTTTTTGTACTTCAAAATGCAGCGACTGAAATGGAGCAGAGCTAAAAAATAAATGTTAAAACAAATGTTGTCACTTTCACAGAAATTACAGAAAAAGAGAGAAGATGGTGAAAATAATGGAGTTTCAACACGGATTGGTTTGAGCTATGAAAATATATGACACAGTACATTTGCTCTTGTGTTCGCATCATAAGCGAGTCGATAACAGCCTTTTATATTTTGGTTCACAGAGGCTTCAGTAGACCAATCAGAGTAGTTACAGTCTGCATCACTGTGACACGGGTACATTTGTAGGTGTAGATTTACTGCAGGAGTATAAATCAAGTTTTATCCACCACTGTTTCTGCTCTCCTACTTCACCTTACTGGCCTCTTCTACATCTTCCTCGTCTCCTCTTTCTTCCACCTTAACTCATTTTGTACGTGACCCTGTACAGGTTTGCTTTTGCTTTACATTGTTTTAGTCATAAACAACCAAACAAAAAGCACCTGTAGCTGATTAAAAAGAAGTAAGAAAAGAGAAAACAGTAAAAATAAATACATGAGTTGCAAGTTTTTAGCCCCATTTTGCCTTTTGTAGTCAATGCTCCTAAGCTTACAACCACAGGAGCATCGTTAGTCTCATTATCATCATTTAAACATAGAAAATAACAAGAGAAAGAGACAGAAAATCCACTTTTCTATTCTATCAGTCAACAATAACAACCATTCATTAACAAACTGTATCATTGAGAACAAACAGGATACTAGCTGTGCCTTATAAATGAAGTTATCTGGCTTGTTTCTCTCCTCAGTGGGACGCCTTCTCCATCCCCGAGCTGCGGAACTTCTTGCGAATCCTCGACAAGGAGGAAGACGAGCAGAGGGAGGCGGTGATTCGCCGCTACGACACCTACCGGCAGAGACTGCAGGAGGCGCTGAGGGAGGTCAGGGGGCCTTCTTAGAGGATTTAACCTCAAGGGAACAGGACTGCTGCCCCACAGAGGGACAGAGGAGGTGTCTTTTTTTTTTTTATTTAAAAAAAAAAAAATCCTCCGAGGAGATAATTGTGTACATTTTGACGGATGGAGGGATGTGAACGCAGAATGAGGAGAGAAGATCCAGCGCCCGGGAGACGGGGGGATACAGATGGATAGACGGATCATAGAGGATGACAAGAGGACAGAAAAAACTAACTGAGAGACGGCAAGAGAAAGACAATAAAAGGACGGCTGGACGTGATTTGCTTTGAGGCTGCTGGAGTTTGATTCAGCCTGGATTCACGACTTCAACCTGCTGCCTGCTCACACCAAAGATTCACCCGACTGTGCCATATTCATGGATCCTCTCTGCCCTCCGTCCATCCTCCTCTTCCTCTCCTCTCACTCTGTCACATAATTTATGCAGTTTATCCTCTTTCTTTCCCCACTTTCTCTCCTTTAAACTTGTGAAAGACTCAAGGCCATATGTTGAGTTATTTTTTTATTTAATTTGTTTTAAGAGTCTGTACATATTTTTTTTTTCTTAATTTATATGGGTGATGCTTTTTGTGTATTTTTTTTTTTTTTTTTTTAAACAAAGTCTTATTTTAGTTTATCCTACAGAGGCGGAGCAACAATCTGGTTGTTGACACAGACACAGAGAATAGTTTATATGACAGATGCTTGATGTAAATACACAGATAAGACAAACAGAACCGTACATATTAGGTTTATTACTTTGAAATCACAAACGGGCCCAGAGGCTGCAGTTGCATCCACATGATGGTTGTAGCGGAAGAATCAGAGCGTAACCGGAGGTCTGGATCATTGATTTGTCCTGCTCATGCTAGCCTGACAATCGAGATAGATTTCAAAGGTGAGGGAAGAAGTAGCGTGCATGTTGTATGGAGTCTCAAGTGTGCCAAATGAAACTTGGATTTTTTTTTTGTAATCAATTGCAATCAAAACATATATACCTATTTTTTATTATTATTTTTTAGAACAATTTTTTGTCATTTTTAATTATTATTTAGCAATTCCATTACAAATTAAAAGTAAATAGATAAATTAATTGGCGAATTTAACTATTTTTTTCCCCCTGAAGGGTCCATTAATGAGTAATTCTGTCTTGAAATGAAATATTTCTTTCTTGAGCTGGAATTCCATCGTGTTTATATCTCCTTGTACTCACACAGCGTTGGAATTAAATCTAAAAATACGTTTTAACAACTTTATTTATACTTTTTGTAGTCTCTTGTAATTATTGCTGGCACATTTCAGACTCCATAAAAGTCAGGCTGAAACTGAATGTTGTAGCTGAAGGTACGTAGAAGCAGATTTCATGTTCAGTGTGACGGAAAACAGACACGTAGACTCCTAACTCGTAATCAAAGAGGTTTCAGTAGAAAGAATAAAAGAGTCTGAAATAGAAGATTGTGAGGAAAGGAAGTAGTTTAGTTTTGGTTGCAGTCAGTGAAAAGTGTTGCTTGAAGATAGAGAGTTAGAACGATCAGAAGAAACTGGTGGGATTTTAAAAGCCTTTGTTTGCATTTCCAAACCACCAGCAGCAGTTTGATGAAGCGTGAAATGAACGGACTGACGTGATTGGAGTAGACGAGACCCCTGATCTTTGACCCAGCCTGGTCAGAGCGGGGAAGGCTTGAGACTGGTTTCTGGAAGTTGACTGAGCGGTTTAGAGGAAGTAGACAAGAAACATTAGATGTAGGAAGGAAGAGAAACACAGAAGAGGACAAGTTCTGTTTTCTTTATTTGTTTTATACGAGGAGCAAATACATGAGAGAGATTGTCATACGAGCAGCGTGACCGTGGCCTGGAGGACGACGACGGGTTTTTCCTCCAACCACGACTCACTTTGATTAACTGCTTGTTCAACTTTTTGCTCCTATAATCCACAACTGAGAGAAAAGGAGGTCTGTAAGCGCTGATAGCTGCAGAGAACAGGGGAGGGAAAAATGGCTGCATTGTCCTGCTCTCCTGCGTCTGTCCTGTGTGTCCGTCAGCAGCCATTCATTTCTAATGCATGTGTTTTTGTGCTCTTATCTCAAGTTGAAATGTGCAGCCTTGACCTCCTTGTCAACCTGGGTTTGTCTTTCTTTTTTTTGTGTGTGTGGATGAAACGGGGTCAGATGTTCTAGAGGGAAAGGACTGATAGTAGTAGAGAGAGTAAAGGTTTGAAAAACTTTACACAAGATATGCATCAGCAAGTGCAAAAGAAGGTACAAGAATTAAAGTTAATAAAAAAAGCTCATTCGCAGGACTTTTAGCGGTGTAGCTGCCTTAGATATATATACAATATATCCTTTGGTATATGTGATTTATCATTTACAGACCAACAGGTTTGTTTTCTGTATAGAAACATCTGGTCGTGCTTTTTGTATCAGCATTTATTCATTTATTTGCGTAAACAACAAGCAACCAGTAAAATCAACTAGAACGACAATCATTTGGACAAACGAGTCAAACTGTTCGGAATCATCACCGTTTATGGAAATTAAAGTGAAACGTTTGGAGCTGCAGGTGCTGAATGACGTCTGACTGACGGTGCCGCAGCGCCTTCTTGTGGAGGACTGCTGTTTAATGTCGCCATCTAGTGGTCGAATACCGCAACTATTCTCTCATTTCTGTGTCAAACGTGCTTTGATCATCGCATAGATTTATTTTAAGTTTTGTTGTTATAACCAAAGATATTTTTGTGGTGTTGCCTGGTGCAAAATATATTAGAGGCCTCTTCCCACTGGAGGGAAAAAACATACAGTATATAGTTTAGAGTTTTATTTAAAGGGGTTTTAACCTCAGTTTATTCTACTATCAGACACTGGGCTAATTCTATGGAAGCAACAAAAGACCTTTAGAATTTGAATTTCACCTGTGACATTTGAAGGGACGCTCGCATTACCTACAAAATCTCAGAATTATTTCGGACATTAAACCGATCTCTGGATGCACAGTTTGATGAAACAGAGAGTCGACTGGAAAATATTGTCAAGCTGTATCATGGGAAATGTAGTGTTAGGTGCTTTTGAGTTCACCCTATGCTAGGAGCTAAAAGTTACGACATCTCAGCCTCAGCTACTTCAATTTTTACCCTTTGCTTTTTGTTTTTGTTAAAATGCATCTCCTTTAACTTTATAGAAATGCATTTTTTTTAAGCACATAATAATAAAATGTAAATACCACTGGATTTACACCAATGAAGTATTTATACTTGATAATCATCCATCTTAATTTGTGTGTTTGATTATCAGTAGTCATTTAATCTTCATCGTTAAGACAGTGATTATTTTTTAAATAAAGGTTTACAGTTTCAGTAAACTCAGGTGTTTCTCTAATTGTTCAAATTAAATTGTTTATTTTTGGAACTCAAGGATTTTCAGACCTTGACATTAATTACTGGATGTTTTAAACAATTGGAAATTCAAGCCACATAAGTTAAATATTCATTTGCGTATTAAAATGGAAATTCTAATTATTTTGGCCCTTTGTTGCCTCCATACATTCTAATTGAAAATGGTGCAACAGTCTGCATGTTAACAGTTAATGAATCTTAAAGCCATGTTGTTGTTGGTTTTGTATCCTTTAAACAACTTTAGCTGTTGAAACACATCACACCAGACGAGTCGTATCAGTTTTTATTTTTGGGCACTTTAACTCTGAATTCAGGGAAGACGGGTTTTTTATTTTAATTTTTTTTGTTCCTGTTTAATCAGCACCACCATCACACTTTGTACTTTATCTTAACATCTAATACACTATAATCTTATTTGTTAAGCTCCACTCATAATTACATGTGTTTTTTTTCTGTTATAACAAATGGAAGTACAGTGTGAAAGAAGTTGTTTTGAGATTTTAAGCTCATTTAGTTTTTTTTTTGGTCTCAGCAGGCTTCCGTACATTTGCTCAAAGTTAGCTGTGAAATGTTTGTTTTCTCGACTCTTGCATGTTTGTTTGCGCACATACATGCTTGCTGTACTCACTGCTGGGCTGTTCAACATTAAAGCATGCATTATTGTACATGAAGCAGCCGTCAGACGCCTTTTGGAAAATAGTTTTTGGTGACGAGACGACAACAAATACTGTTTTTCAAACGCTGTCGGATCTGTGAAGCGCTATGAATTAGGCTTGTTGATGAATTTCTGAATGAATTCTATTATGAAGAGCTGTTGCGCCAGTAATGTTGATGTGTGAAGAGCTGATATGATACCTAGTATGTATTCAGAGATCTTATTTTAAGGCTGTTCGGTCGTAACTAGAGCGCTGTCGCATGCAAACTGTCGGCTCCAGGGTTCGTTTTTAACCTTAGAAGCAGCAGTTTGAAAAGCATTTCCAAATGTTCCGATAATTTTCCGTCATTTTACACCATATTAGTGAAACTGGTTTAACTGTGTAGTAGTAGTACTTGTTATAGAATGTTTATTTTACTTCACTGACAATTGCTATGATCAGTCTGTTGTATAGTTTTGCTGGTTTTTTAATTATCAAAAAGTTAAAATTTAAGCAAATATTTAAAAAAAAATCTAGTTTGAGCTTCTCAAGTGAGAATATTTCTTGTTTTTTTTTCTTTTTTTTGGTCAAATTGACTAAACAAAAATACATTATTGTTTGCTTTTATTTTTTATATATATATATGTTCCTATAGTGGCTAAAAAACTGGATCTAAATTTGACATTTCAGCATCACATGGTGTAAAATGACAGTATATGTACTGTATATCCAGGAACATTGATTTGTTTTGTTGTTGTTATTGTGTAAACCTTTTAATTATCGGAACTGAAAACATCTGAGAAAAAACATCTCCTGACAACTTTCTGTCGTTGCTGCTCTAAAGCTTTCAGTCAAATCATACAAACTGGTAAAAGTGCTCAAAAATGTCCTTTTTTGTTATTTTTTTTATTCATGTTTTCTTAAATACTGAGGTTCCCTCCTAAAACAAGCCCATTTGATGCGACTGAAAACTCTAGAACAGTTACTAAACGGGCCTTGAGGTGAGATGAGTCCGTCAGCTTTCAGGCTCCAGAGTTCAGTTTTGTGCGTTCAGTGTCTCTAGTTCGAACATCCACCAACTTAAATGCCAAAGATCTGTGTGTGGCTCCTCTGCCACTTACTGATGTCCATGTGTTTTTCCAGTGACTCTGTTTTTGTTGTTCACAGGGACCGACTGTAGAGATGCTTTCTGGCCCATCAGACTAATATCACATGGATTTGACTCTGTTGTTGGCTGTAAATTTCAAACCCGAGCTGCAAAGTAAAATCAAGGCAGAAGGTTTCCTATTGGCTAATCTGTCAATAGAAGCCACGAGTATTGAAAGATTTAGCTAAACTTTGACCTTTGAGCTCGGCCTGAAATGTCCCGATGTCTGACTGCAGCAGTGCCTTTATGGAGCGTGACGGCTGCAGACAGAAAACAAACGTCTCTCTGTAGCTTCAACAGTTAACTGAGGCAGGTTTATTTTTGTAGGTGTCTCTTGATTTCTCTTTGAATCGTTACCAAACGTGGCCTTTCCTCACACAAGGTGGGCCGCATCTATTAAAGCTGAAATTAAAACAAACAAACAAAAAAAAGGTTTGTGTGTGCTGGAGTGTTTTCATTTTTGTTTCATTTCAGGTAATATTTTGTTTCGTCTTAATTGTCATTGAATTAGCTTTTGTCATTTTGGCATCGAGGCAACTTAAACATGATCTAAACGTTCCTCACACTGTGCCTTATATGAAGTAGTGACATGGATAAACCATCACCAAACCTTTACACTGTCCACAACCTGTTGCCAGCTTTCCTTCCTGGTTTTGGCTGCAGCTGCACAACCAGACAGTTACAGTTTTACATTTGTCATTGGTTTAGGATTACAGTTACGTCTCCTGGTGGGAACCACCTCTTTCAGGTGAACGCTCTCATAGGTCGATTCAGATTCAATGACTGGACTCATCAAGTTGATGACCAGCTTCATCAGACCGCTCATCCAGACTTATGCTGTTTGGTTTAGTGAAGCCAGATAATGAAAAGATACACTGGGCATGTTGAACTTGTTTGGTCTTACAGGCCTCTGGTGTCAGCTGTTCAGCTCTGAGCTGTCAATCACAGATGCAGGAAGTCTGTTCTTCCTGAAGGGGGCGGAGTCAGCAGCAGCTCATTGGTATTCAAAACAACACAGTCAGCTTAGAACAGCTCTACAGCCAGAGGTTGTACAGTCACAGTAAATGAACCATCTTTACAGTATTTTAAGCAGAACAAATGATTGAAAGACACATTCTGGGGACATGTGACACGAGCAGTAGTTTAATGAAAAAGGCCAAATATGGGACTTTTAGATGAAACATAAGACCTTTAGAGATGATCTCAGCTGGTCTCATCACACACTTCACACCATAAGGCCCAGCAGCCGCTGTACTTTCTGAGAACAGGTAGGAAGCCAACACTCTGTCTAACTTCTACACAGGTATAGTCTAGAGTGTCCTGAGCAGCTCCATCACAGTGGTACAGCAACTGCACAGCTGAGGACAGGAAGGCTCTCCAGCAGGGCCATGCAGAGACCTTTGGAGGGGCAGGTGCTCAAAGTTAAAAGGGGGCACATGGAGCACGAATTTGAAACACTATAAAGAAACATACATCACAATATAACTGGTTGAATTGTAGCAACCCATATTCATGAAGAATGGAACATGGAATCACAACATACCACTTCATGGTCCACAGCTCATATCTTTGTTAGGGGGCGGTCTATGTTGACCTGATGGGGTCCATTGAACAGCTTCTGTTCAGGGTGTTGGTGAGGAGGCTGCTGCTGATGATATCGCTGGAGGTGAGCTGTATTGATCTGACAGTGTAGACACTAAAAAGAGCATGGGAGAGGTAGTAGCTGATTAAACAAGTGTTATGGGATCATGACAAGATGCAAAGATAACATTGATAATGGCTGACTGTGACCTGCCATACTGCTGATTGTTGGAGGCTATTGTTTTTCTCACCAATTCTGATAACACTTGATTTTACTTTTAGTTTTATATTTTTATATGAATCTGTGATTTCAATCAATCAATCAATCAATCTTTATTTCTAAAGCGCTTTTCATACAATAATGTCATTCAAAGTGCTTTACAGATTAAAATCACCTTAAAATCATTCCCACCCTTCCCTCACGCACAAACAAACAATATCACACTCATACTCAACACACCCACACACACGCATACACACCAGCACCAACAATATGGACATGG